ATATAATTTATTCCATTTACTTTTCATTTTATCTGATTTTTATATGATTGTCTATTGTTGTCTGTACCACATCTGTGTTCTTTGTTTAAAACAGCTCTCTCTTGTAAATGAGTCCCTTGGCTCATTGAGACTAACCTGTGTAAATAAAGTTTGAATGAATGAATGAATGAATGAATTAAACTTTAAGAAGTTCACAGCAATCTAGGCTTTTATGTTGTCCAGACATGAAAACAGAGGGCCCAGTGAATTAGTCCTTTTTCTTTAGCGGGACATATATCTGCGTATAATCTGCATAACAATGAAATGAGATCCCATATTTTCTAAAAAATAAAGCCAAGAGGGAGCAGGTACAGCCTGAAAAGGAGGGGATCTAAGACTGAGCCCTGTGGAACTCCACACAAGAGAGAAGCAGAGGAGGAAATGTGGTCATCAAGGCAGACACAAAGTATGCTGGGCTAAGTAGGACCTAAACCAGTCCAGTGCTGTACCACTGACCCTCCCCATTGTTTCAAACAACAAAGTAAAATCCTATGGTTTACTGGGTCAAAATCAGCCGATAAATCTAAAAGCAAGATGACAACACAGTCACCAGAGTCGGTTGCTAAAAATATGTCATTGAAAACCTTTAAAAGAGCAGATTCTGTACTGTGTAGAGATTTAAAACCAGACTGTAAAACCTCAAGGATGTTCTTCTGTTCTTTCAAATATGTTGATAGATGGTTGTACACCACCTTAGCGAAAATTTTTGAAAGAAATGGCAGTTTAGAGATTGGCCTCTAGTTAGCAAGAACAGAAGGGTCAAGAGTGGGTTTCTTGAGAGGCTGGACAGCTGCATGTTTAAAATTTCCAGGGACCACACCAGAGGACAGACTGCTATTCAGAAGAGCAAGCAGCGAAGGACCTACAGTGAGGAAAACCTCTTTAAATAAACGACAGACACATGCTTGTTATCAAAACACATCATGACTGACTGACACCACTGCATGGACTGAAATGAATCCCTGGATATGCATCTACAAGTGAATATCCTTTTGCAAGTATTAAGTTAAATTTGGTAACTGCTGAGACAGATGGCACAAGAAATGTGTTTACAACTTTGCCATTAAAATTTTGGAGTCAACTCTTAAATATCTCATGAACCACTGTGTGAATATTTTTAATGAAACGTGCAGGAAATATTCAGTTGAAGCGTCTCTACAAATAATTATCTTTCAGAGCAATTCAAGTCAAGATGCCTTCCACAGCCAACTGACCTGAAAAACATAAGAGACAAAAGCTAGGACAGTTTACTGAGCTAAATGTGTTGTGGTAGTATTTGAGAGTTATTCACAACACATACTCTGAGAAGGACATATTTTCAAACTTTGACTAAACTGATTCCAGCTCTATTTTTTCTCATAAGATCTTTATCTAAAACTCTGGTATGAAGAGAAGCGATGTGCATTTCTTCAAAGCACACTAGATGTTTGTTTGTGTTTGTTTGTTTGTTTGTTTGTTTGTTTTTACCTTTTTCCAACAGAAATTATTTATAGATGGATGTATCACAGAAACAGCAACAAAAAAAAAAACGTTAAAAAAGATTTATCTCTGTTTTATTTATTTACATCACAACTCTCTGACATTTGAATGGAGAGGGAAGTCTTTTGTGTAAAAAAACTACAGTCTGCACTCATTCTTCTGATTTGCAGGTACTCTGAGCACACCCAGCTGCAGTCACAGCAGCGCAGTGTGCAGGAGGCCATCCGGGGGAAGCTGGCTGACTTGGAGCAGTGGGTCAGTCAGTACAAGACAGCATTTTCCAGTCTGGAGGCCGCACAGCTCGCAAGCCTGCTGCAAGACATCAGCACTCCGATAGATCTTGGTACGTGCTTCAGAGATGAAAAAGAGCTTTAGGACATTTGACTTTTTAGTAAGTACAAGAAAGATCTTAAATATGTCTAAATCTAGGCGCATCTTCCAGAAGTGTACAACGGGATTTCTCATTAAGCTGAAAAATGAGTGGTTCAATTATCACTGCAGATGTTCTGTGTGCCAGCTGTTTGAACAAACATTCTCACCTTTGACATCTTGGACCGTCTCGTCACAAAAAACATAAAGAAACCACCCAGATGACCTGACTGAACATTGTTGGATTTTATACCTGCATTATTGAGCATGGACCTTGATGTTTGATGCTCACCTTGGTCACTTCACTTCCAGCTGTGTTGTAGGGACTAGAGCCCGACCGATATGGAAATTTTGGCTATCACGATACCTATTGTGGGAGGGGGCGACTGCCAATACCCGATATAATGGCTGAAAATTTTTGAGCTTTAGTCACCTCCAAGAATCTGAGAAAACAGTGAGTGGAGCAAGGCTTGTTTATTTAGTGCAGCTGGTAGCAACCATGAAGCTAAAGCCCCCAGTATACTCCCGCGTATGTCCGTTCACGCGTACGTACTCATGTACTGTACGCAGAGGGTTCAGACTTCGTACTCCAGCGTCCATCCTGAACAGCTGCAGAGCAGCTTCACAGACAGGGGGCGTTGGTTGGTTTATGAATATGGGAATAAATCCATAAATATGCCGCTTTGGCCTATAAGTCGCAGGGCATGTAATTTGTGCAAAAAACTGACTTATAAAAAAAATATATGGTACACAGATTTTCAAGTCTAATAATACTCAATGGTTGCGATAGAGCCATTTTAACCATCGTAAATAGAAAATATTGCGATATTTCGGGTATATATTCGCTGTATATATTCGCTATATCCCCCAGCCCTATGTGTAACACTTAAAGCCCCCAGTATACTGCCGCGTACGTCCGTTCACGTGTTTGTACGCGTGTACTGTACGCAGAGGGTTCAGACTTGGTACTCCAGCGTACACCCCAAGTAGCTGCTGAGCAGCTTCACAGACAAGGGGCGTTTACCTTCGGGACAAATTGAGGTTGCCGATTGGTCATTTGCTGACACGCCTACTGGATTGATTGACAGGTCGGGGGGGGGGGGGACGAGGGCAGGCAGCCTCAGCCGCAGTGGTGTTCTGTGTTTATATGTTGTTAATAAAAATATCTTAAAAAAATAAATAAATAACAGGGAGTGCTGGCTCTGCAGCCCACACATCAGACCAGCCCACCAGGAAATCTCCAGACCCTCCCGCAGCCACGCTGGACCTGAGTTTAATTCGCTCGTGACAAATTCTTTAATTTCTCACCATTTCAGTCATGGCATCAACGGAGGAGGAAGAGATCACTGCCTCTTGGCAAAAAAACAAAAGAAAAGGCCAGATTCAATTCAGTTTATTTATATAGCGTCAAATCACAACAGAGTTTCCTCAGGGCACTTTACAGGAACATTCACAAACATAAAAACTAATTAATAAAGTTCTCTATCCGAGTCCAGCAGACAAGTTGAATCTTGGCTTTGTTGCAGTCTCCCATCCTGAGCAAGCACAGTGGAGACAGTACACTCCCTTTTAAAAGGAAGAAACCTCCAGCAGAACCAGCTCAGGACAAGCGGCCATCTGCTTTGACCGGCTGGGTTTGAGAGGACAGGAAGGAGAGACAGACAAACACAGAATGGTAGGTCCAGATGTAGGACCAGGTGTACCTGAAAGACAAAGAAAAAAAAAAGTCATGTGTTGTGAGGACAGCATACCCACACTAATGTTAGCTCGCTAACTTGAGAGGCACGTAGCTAATGGCAAGCGGGTTGTAGGATTTAAGGCAATTTATTATTGTGGATTTTTAATTTTTATTTCACAGATCAATTAAAATAAACTTACCATGCTCTGTTCAGCAAATGTGCTACACTTTATTGCTCCCTGCTTCATCTGTGCTGAATGTCAAAAGTGAACGACCGTGACTTGAAAGTAGTTTTTGTGCGCCCTCTGCTGGATACATTGTACAAATATGGCTGGTTCCAACATTTGAGGGGTGGAAATTAGAAGTCTTTATGTTGGCCAATAATTTGACCCTTGTCACTCATATGATAGGTTCCCAAGTGCCTATATATTGGTCAAAATTATCGGCCCTACCGATATATCAGTTGGGCACTAGTAAGGACACCCTCTCTTGCTCTCCTGCAGCTCTGTGCTGAGAGGAAAAGCCTGCATTAATTTCAAACACATTAAAAACTCGTAAGAAGTCAGTCGGAGGAGTTATGTCCTATTAATTTGTCTCATCATCATCCACTTGTCACTCCTGTTTCCCGTTGACTGTCTGTAATGGAGTATGTGATGAGAAGGTTGTTTAAATGTGTGACATGCTGAGGAGTTACTGTTCAACACTTCCAGGTCCACCGAGCTACGTGCCAGCCACTGCCTTCCTGCAGAACGCGGGTCAGGCCCACCTGATCACCCAGTGTGAAAGCCTGGAGGCGGAGCTGAGCTTGTTGCTGCAACAGCGCCGGGCAGCCCTTCGCAGTTGTCTGGAGCAGCTGCACAGCTATGCCACGGTGGCTTTGCTGTACCCACGAGGTACCCTGCTGTTCCACAGAGTCCACCAGTGGAAAGCTTGGCTGGAGGAACTGCTGAGGGACATGACAGTGGAGCACTGCCAGCACATCTACAGACAGTAAGGCTTTCCCTTCTGTTCCGTCATGTCGAATGTAGTAAATTGCATGTTTAAACATATTCAGGAATTTTGTTTAGCATAGGCAAGGCATGTCCAAAGTCTGGCCCGAGGGCCATTTGCAGCCCATGTTCAAATTTCCACTGGTCCACAGCCTCTGTCATAAAAATCAATAATATGTGTCCCGCAGCACCGTTGACTACAGTATAAAATACACACGTATGAAAAAGCTATATTTCACCAGAAGGTGGCAGTGTGATCCTTTCTAGACCATTTCTAAAATGATGACTATTAAAAAAAAAATTGTTGACAGCGGTGCGCTGCCCCACCAATAAAAAGAAAAAGGAGGACCCCCGCTTCCAGGACTAGTGGGAATTTGAGTGTTTTTTTCACTGAGATACAAAAAAACTCCATCTACCTAATTTGCCAAGAGACTGTGGCTGTTTTCAAGGAATTCAACATCAAGAGGCATTTCCAGAAACATGAACCATGTTAACTTCGACAAGCTAACTGGGAACAACGCTGCGAAAAAGTGAAGCAGATGAAGAGGTATGCAGCAGACATCTCATCTCTGGTTGAGGAGTTTCAACAGCACTTTTGGAATTTTGCAGCTATTTAAAAGTAGATCGTGCTGTTTTCCCCTCCTTTCTCTGTGAACCCTGATGATGCTTCAGACCACCTGCAGGAGCTCATTGAAGCTGCAGTGTCATGCATTTGAATGTTTGCTAAAAAATGTTGAGCTTGTTTGACTCAACGTACTTGTGTGAGAAAACATTCTCTGTTATGAACATTAACAAGAACTGTGTGAGGATGAGGTTTAGTTTACAATGTTCAAAGCATAAGAGGGTAAAATCTTGAAACTTTTCCCCTTTTTTTTTTTAAAGTATACCTGATGATAATATGTCTGAGTTCTCATTCATAGCAGTTGTTTCGTGTCTCACATTGGGAACGCTCTGTGTGACCTCATCAGAAGCTCCTATTATGCCAGCCAGCCAGGATTGACTGGAAATAAGCCTATCAGTGTCAAAGGAGGGCAGGCTCCCTCCCTATACAGTGAGGAAAATAAGTATTTGAACACCCTGTGACTTTGCAAGTTCTCCCACTTAGAAATCATGGAGGGGTCTGAAATTTTCATCTTTGGTGCATGCCCACTGTGAGAGACATAATCTAAAAAAAAAAACTTCCGGAAATCACAATGTATGATTTTTTAAAATAATTTATTTGTGTGTTACTGCTGCAAACAAGTATTTGAACACTTGTGAAAATCAATGTTAATATTTGGTACAGCATCTTTGTTTGCAATTACAGAGGTCAAATGTTTCCTGTAGTTCTTCACCAGGTTCACTGCAGCATGGATTTTGGCCCATTCCTCCACACAGATCTTCTCTAGATCAGCCAGGTTTCTGGGCCTGTCACTGAGAAACATGGAGTTTGAGCTCCCTCCAAATATTTTCTATAAGGTTTGGGTCTGGAGACTGGCTAGGCCACTTCAGAACCTTGATATGCTTCTTACGGAGCCACTCCTTGGTTCTCCTGGCTGTGTGCTTCGGGTCATTGTCATGTTAGAAGACCCAGCTAGGACCCATCTTCAATGCTCTAACTGAGGGAAGGAGGTTGTTCCCCAAAATCTCTCAATACATGGCCCCCGTCATCCTCTCCTTAATACAGTGCAGTCGTCCTGTCCCAGGTGCAGAAAAACACCCCCAAAACACAATGCTTCCACCCCCATGCTTCACAGTAGGGATGGTGTTTTTGGGATGGTACTCATTCTTCGTCCTGCAAACACGGCAAATGGAATTATGACTAAAAAGTTCTATTTTTTGTGAAGAGAGGCAGCTGTGAGATTAGCTGATCTGACAGTCTCAGATGAAACTTTACTTTCAGAGATGTTTCTGTTTTATTTCAAAACATACATAATCAAAAAACACACCGAGGGAAAATCACAGATCGATAAAACCCTCCACTCTGGAGATGGAGGCGAAGGTGGAGACGGATGTCTTCAGCTTGCCGGGCCCAGCTGCAGCCTTGTTCCAATGTGACATCATAGCTGGACAGCAAGGCTAGATGGGATTAGGGCGACGAGCCGGGGCATAGCCAAACTTTCCCGCCAGATCATCCGATCAGGGCGGAGGGAGGTGAGGGACAGAAAGTCCCTTTGTGTTAGCAGCCTCCTGGATTATGCCAGGCAGCTCCGAGAGGAGGGCGTGGACGGCTGGGAGTGGTGTGGTCGCCGACGTGGGAAGACCCGAGGTGGCTGAGCATCCGTTCGACCACTCTTCTTCCGTCACTATGCTCTCCAGGAGGGATGGGGCAGCGAGGTTGTTTCCAGCATCACCTTTCACAGAGGAATAGTTCGATTCACTGCATGACTCTGCGTCAAAGAAAGGCGGTGGCGTCGTCCCGCGCATAGCGTCCCGCCACGGAAAAAACATTCAGCGGAGCTGCTGCCTGCATCGCCTTTTTCGAGGGAATCATCCGATTCACCGCGAGGAACAAACGTTAGAAAAGGCGATGGTGTCGTCCAGTAGGTAGCGGCCCGCCACGGAAAAACACTCCTCGGCACTTACCTTGAACAAGGCTGCTTGTCTCTGCTTCTCCTCGTGGAGGAAGAGCTCACCGGGACGGCAGGAGGTTGGCGTGGAGGAGACCCAGGCATCCTTAGCAAAAGTTGTGCCGGTCAAAGCTGGACATCTTTTCCTTCTTCATTCTTCTTATAGTGCTAGGTAGCTGGCTGAAGAAAAAATGGGAGCCGATTACCCGGTCTCACCGTAATTTATACGAACAGGTGTGAGGCCCACACAACAGGTGAGCGTGGACTAAAGTTTTCAGTGCTGCGCGCAAAGTGATAAACCCACTAGCGATAGCCTTAAAGGGCAAAGCCTATACGAAATAGAACTTTTAGTAGATGTGTGTACAAGCTCGGTCGCTGGGCTCTTTGCTCTGGGTCAGCACAGCACCACACAGAGTAGCTGTTCGTGGTGATGGAGAGCTACACTCTCTTAACAAAGAGGGTATGCCCCATCACTAAAAACAAGAACACAAATAAGAAATATCATAATACGGCCAGGTCCATAACTGGTGTATATTGTAGAATATTTTCTGCAGTATTTATTTCATGTACTGTTGACATTTCAATGAAGTGATAAAGTAACATTTTAGGCTTTGGATTATTTGGCTGCAGGGGTGTGTGTTATCCCCACTTTTATTTGTCATACACAAATGAGTTGAAATAAATCAACAAAGACTATACACATTCAGTATGCTGATGACATGGCCTAGTTGATGGTCTGAGAGACACTGATAGCCCCTCCTTCTTCCAGCTCATAGACCAACTCTGCCTAGTTTGACAGTTTTGTGGACCTTAATGTCAGTAAAACCAAGCAGCTTTGTCTGCGAGGTAGTTTTGTAGCAGCTAGCACCATATATGTTTTCAGATCTATTATAAAAGGGGAGGAAGTAGAGCAGGTCATTGAATTTAAATACCTCAGAACAATAACTGACAACAAGTTGACCTTTCAGCCCAATGCTGACTGAGTTTACAAAAACATTAAACCAAAAACATTCAAACATCTCCATCTTCTATGTAAGAGAATCTTTAAAACAAACACACTTTGCAATTGATGCGCAGGTCATTGGTTGAAGGTGTTTCTTGTAAAGTAATTGATAATCAACAAATACAACCTGTATTGTCAGTTTCTGGAGAAAAAAAAGGCTCTCTAGATTTACATTGACCCACTTCATCCACTGTGACCATTATTCAGGTTGGTACCATCTAGCAGAAGACTGGTGGTTGTTGTACCAAAGAAAAATGAGTCAAAAAGTATTTTGTTCCCTCTGCTGTAACTGTCCCTCATAGTGTCCTCTTTAAACGTAGCTTCACAGAACAACTGTCTGCTGAGATAACAAAGTCCATGCTCAGTAATCCAGGTATACAATCCAACATTTGGACCATACAATCCAAATTGTTTGATTGTATACCTGGATTATTAAGCATGGACTTTGTTGTTTTCAACCAGTTTGACATGACTGTCAACAAGGAAGAGGGCTGGCAATGGAGGAGGGGATGTACGAAAGAGACCATCTTATCACAAGCAGAACTGGTTTGTTCCACTTTGGAGTAAGCTGTTGGGGGAAGAATCAGTTTTCTTGTGTTTCCTTGACTGATGAAGCCTTCCGGATCGAAAAACGAAACGTTTCAGTACCAAAAAAGAAACTGTCCAGATGACCTGACTGAAAAATGTTGGATGTCTGCTGAGATGTTCTTGTGTTTATGATTACTTCATCAATGCTTTATAAAGTTTTTATTGTTGCATTTTTTATTTGTGTTGTATTTTTGAATCAGTTGTCAAACAAGTCCCCATTTCATGGAATGCTATGGACAATAAAGTTGTATTGAATTAAATTGATTTTTTTTACCTGCTCTATATTTCCTGTCTGTTACTTGAGATAATACAGTATACAAAAGCTTTACTGTAATTGAAAATCTAACTGCAGCACAAACACGAGCATGTAATCTGTCATTATTATTGGCAGGTTTGTGTTTGAGGTTGTAGGTTAGATTGGAGATGAAACTATGACATCGTGTTCAAAAGGTTGTGTTTAGGCTGTCCATTAAGGTGGTGTTTCAAGATTCTCATTTAATTTAAAAAAAAAAAACTTTAGGAGCTCCTGGAACACTGACTGATTCTGACTTTTTTTCCCCTGCTGCTCTCTTCTTCAGGGGCCACCACAGTGAACTACCTCGCACAAAGACTTGACAATTATTTTTACGCCCGATGTCCTTTGTGACGCAACCACAGACCACCGAGCTTCCACAGCCCTCAGTGCGGAGCAGAGAGCTGCCATTGGGGGCATCCGGGGGAGTAGATGGTGGGGGTTAAGGGCCTTGCTCAAAGCCCAGATTGGGGCAAATGAGGGTCAAGGCAGGAGGGGTGTGGGTGTTACACCTTTCCCACCCACATTTTGATGTCAGTACCGGGAGTTGAACCGGCAATCTTCCAATCACAGGCCCACCTTCTCTAACCTCTGCACCACCACTCCCACCAGATTGATTGCTCCCTAAACAGCTGTCTTGAAAATGAGTTCTTGTGGCTCAATAAGACTACCTGTATAAATAAAGGGTAAATGAAAAAATGATTCTGATATAAACTTATTTATTCACAAAGCTGTTGATGTGTGGACAGGACTCAACAAGCTTTGTATATAAACGTAACATGACAAAGTGGGGCATACAGCAGAAGGTTGTTTTGTTTTAATCTGTGCTTTTAGACGGTTGAACTCAAGTTATTGTTTTTCACAAGTTGTTGAAGTCCTCCTGACTTTCCCTCTGTTATTTGACAGATATGAAGTGCTGTTTGCCCCGCAGCCTCCTGCAGCTGCTTGTCAGTTTCTGTCCAACGTGGAGCTGACTCTGCAGCATCAAGTGGCTGAAACAAACGAGCGCATGCTGCACCAAGCGGAGCGGCTGAAGGCGGAGGGCACCACCGTCTCAGCATGTGAAGAGCAGCTGCAGGAGATTGAAAACTGTATTACAGTCTTCTTACGAGAGAATGGAGAGTCAGGGTCACTGAGCCTCGCTGCCATCATCACCTCTGCCCTCTGTACCCTCTGCAGGTAGGACTTCTATCACCTGCTGCCAAAGGCAGAAGGGTGATCATGTTTTGGCCTGTGTCTGTGTGTCTCATGAATAGCTGAACATATTTTATTAAAATTCTCCAAAAGTAATCAGTGGATTACAATCTCCAACCGATTAACTTTTACAGTAAACCCAATCACAGATTGCCAAGAAATCAAAGTAATCTTGGCTAACATTAGGGCGGCTGTGGCTGAGTGGTTAGAGCAGTCGTCCTCCAATGCAAGAGTTGGGGGTTCGAATCCACCAGCAGTCGCATGCCAAAGTGTCCATGGGCAAGACACTGAACCCCTCTCTGCCTCTGATGTGTGTCCCATCAGTGTATGAATGTGATCTAAAGCTCTGATTAGTCTCTTTAGAATGATTTGTTCAATTATCTTTGTAGAGATCTAGTATAGAGCTGTATGAATGGGTGAATGAGACACAGATTGTTGTAAAGAGCTTTGACTATCTATAAGATAGAAAGGCGCTATATAAGTACAGTCCATTTACAATCCATTTAACATACTAAATATGAATATATATGATACATATAATAATAATAATAATAATAATAATATAAATATTATATATACATAATATTATTTTATAAATATAATATAATTATAATAAATATGAATATACTAAATACTGATAAAGTCATGATAATGGGTGATTTCAATATTCATGTAGATGTTGAAAGTGATAGTTTAAGCATAGCCTTTAAAAATTTAATAGACTCATTTGGTTTGAGACCCAAAACGTCCAAGAACCTACTCACTTTCATCATCACACCCTTGCCCTAGTTCTGACCTATGGCATTGAGATTAATAACTTAGTAATATTTCCTCAAAGTCCTGTTCTGTCTGACCATTTTTTAATAACCTTTGAGTTTACATTAAATGACTACACAGTCACTGAGAGTAAATTTCATCTCAGCAGGTGCTTATCAGAAAATGCTGTAACCAAATTTAAACAATCTCTTCCATCAATGTTTTCCTCTGTCTTGCAGAGTAATGCATCAGAGAACAGAGACTTAGATCATCTAGTTGATCATCTTACAACTTCACTCGATAAAGCTGCTCCACTGAAAAAGAAAGAAATCAATCAGAGGAAATTAGCTCCTTGGTTCAATTCTGAGTTATGTATTTTAAAACAGACATCTAGAAAACTAGAAAAAAAAATGGCGCTCCACTATTGTTGAGGAATCTTACTTATCCTGGAGAGATAGCCTGCTAATGTACAAAAAAGCGCTACGTAATGCTAGAACTTTATATTATTCATCTTTAATTGATGAGAATATAAATAACCCGAGGTTCCTTTTCAGTACCATAGTCTAATGAAAAATTATATCTCTGTTGATTCAAGTATTCCTACAACTATAAGCAGTGATGACTTCATGAGATTCTTTATAAATATATATTTTTTTCAATTAGGGAAAAAATTCAAACCAACATTCCTAGTGTCGACTCTGGTTCTGTGTCAGAAGAGACAACTTTAAAAATTTCACTAGAGCCTGATTTATGTTTGGACTGTTTCTGTCTTGTTGAGCTCTCTGAATTGTCAAAAATAATAATCTCATCCAGAATCTGTTAGGGTCATTTAGATTTTTGGAGGTCTGAGATAAGAAATAGTTGCATTTTGCTGCTTTGACAGCAGCTGTGCATTTATTCCTCATCTGTCGGAAACTCAACCAATCAGTGTCTGAGTCAGATTTTCTCGCTGCAGCCCAAAGATGGTCTCTCCTGTGCAGGTCAGCTAGCTCTGGAGTAAACCAGGGGCTGTCTCATCCCTTTATTCTGAACTGACGAAAAGGAGCATGTTTGTTCATGAAAAAAATGAAACTATTATGAAAATAGTTCCAAGCAGAGTTCACATCATCAGTTAACAGAATATGATGCCAGTCAAAGTGAGACAGATCCCAGAGGAATGACTGTTCACAGAAACGTTTCAGATCCCTTTTTTGAATTAATCTGGGCTTAGAAGGTGGAAGTTTAATATCTCTCAGAGTCACTGTCACACAGTGATCACTCAAAATGTTAGAGAATACACCTGTACCAGGGAATTTGTGAGGCATATTAGTTAGAAACAGGTCTAAGATGGAGGAATTTTCAGGATGGTTTTTATTTAATCTAGTGGGAGAGTTGATCAATTGGGTAAGATTGAGAGACAGGCAACATTCCTTGAATTTATCACAGAGGGGAGTCGACTTACACCAATCAATGTTGAGGTCTCCAGCCAAAAGGATCTCTTTGAATTTTAAATTACCAAGAAATTCCTTCAGTGCAGACAGAGCCTCAGG